ACGCAAAATTGATTTTCTTCAAACGTTTTGCACAAATCCTGCGTTCTTGTAATTGATTTCTATGTGACTGTGCCGCGTTGTAACAGAAGATAATAAAAATAACGCGTTACTCCACTAGAAGATATTATCTGTCGCCTATCCTCTCTGTCGCTTTTGAAAGCATAACGCTTGTTTTTTTTTTTTTTTTTTTTAACGCCATTTTATATCATAATTCATACACCGGTCGTAATTATGTACCGGAGTATAAAACGCGAAATTGCGAATAAATTTGGCTTCCGAGCCTGATACTTCGCTACCATCGGCATTTTCTTCGCGACCACCTTTTCTCGCGCGCGTCTTGAAACGTGCCATTGGGCGAAATTGTAATGCTCCTTGAAGCCGCCGAGGGATTCGAAATGTTTGACGCGGAGAAGCTCGCGAGCTTAAAGCGTACATATGTACCGCATGTATATATGCGTATGTATATACATCTGGACACACATAGCGGTACATAACTGTCGACACTACCATCGACACCTTTACGAGCACTACGTGTACTTCGTTCGAGTATCCCGTAAGATGCCTATTTCGTCGTCTCTGTACTCGGTCGCGCGCGCGCACACTCACAACACAACGCCACAGAGGTCCGAGGTTGGTACCGGACCCGGCGTCGTTCAATTGGGCGTGTATCGAGGTGAGGCAGGTAACGATAACGGTTATCGTTATTGCCTATTCAGTATCTTTGACTGCAAAGTGTTAAAGTATTCCGCCTCAAGATTCAGGATCGTTATTGCACCGGGAGGAGTCGGTTCTTTCTACGGCCGCGGTAACACATGTTGGAATACGGGATTGTCTGTGCGCGCGTGTTTTGCAGTGAACTCTGACCGTCTGCCAATCCCCCATCATCGCGGTGGATACTTCGATTTGCATGATTCTCTCTCGTCAATTTTAACTTCACGATTAGAGGGAAAAGTCGAACGAACAAGTGTTCAGGAAAAACAGCATTTTGCAAGAACGCGATCTGTGAAAATAACAGAGAATCGCGATAGACCGACTGTGATGGTAAAGTTTCAACCCGCGCAATCGGGGGGATATGTATCAAGTTTATATTCTCTCGTTCCTCCGCAACTTTTGCTTATATATGTGATGATGACTAACAGTCGCGAACTTTTGGTACTTTTCGATAAAACAAAAGTCCTCCTAGCGAGTGACTCGAACCGAGAGCGAGATAAAGTGACAGTTCCGGGTTTAGCTCGAGGCCCCGTCGTCTCTCATCCTCCCTGTCCGATGTAGCCCGATTTAGTTGGCTTCGCAAAGCCCCGTGACGGCTTTCCCTCGCGTTACGAGACTGGATATATAGTTTGCTTTAAGCAAGTTAAGCGATTAGGCCCGCCGAACCCTTTGACCCGCGTTTAATCTAAATTTATACGGATCTCTTTAACACAACACCGTCTCCCTCGATCAATTCGAACTGACTTCGGTGTGTTGAGAGATCTCTTGCGTAACAAATTTTAATTATTTCGCGGAACGTTTGCTCTCGCGAAAGTTTTCGATTTTTACTATCGCGATACGCGATCATGTGCTATTAAATTTTTGCGTCTTACGCGTTGACATATTTATCAGAAATTGTTCGCGTATCCCGCTGGCAACGGGGAAATATTTCCACGCGGATATGTGTGTCTAGCTGCATTTTTCATATCGTTTATACTTCCGCCACAGGGAGGATCGTGTGTTTTTCCGTTGCATCTTTAAAGAAACAAGATCCGCGCTGTATAGCGGCAGCGGCGAAATAGAGCCACCTCCGAATCGCGCGAATTCCCAGATGGTCTCTCTTCGAGTCGGACACATTCTCTCTTTGTGTTGCAAGCTGGCAACTTTAAGCCATATAAGCGCGTACCTGGTAGCTCGATTCGTTTTGAATTCGCCGATGGTGCGCATCTCGGTGCCGGTCGACATCTGCCACTCGACCACTCATACGTTTGTGAAATGTTCGGCTTCTGTATACGAGATTCGCGCAATCGAATCCTCTTTGGATTGGTCGCTTTTTGTTTTCGAAAACTCGCCACCGCTCTCTTCGTTCTTCCGTCCTCTTTCCGCAAGGATTCCCGTTTTCTCGTATACACATCCCCGTCTTTTTCGAGTCCAAGCGCGGTCTTCTCGCGCGCAAAGTCGCGTAACTTGTCTCTCCGACAAAGATATTGCAGGAATGACGTGGTCGTCGGGACGTGATCTATCGTGTGTGTTTCGCCAGAAATGTTTTCTCATCTAACGACTTGACACACACTCGTGACATTTGAAGTTCGTAAGAACGATGAAGTACACGTGTACAAACGTATCACGAAAAGTCACGGAAGTTTCACGTTCTCATTTATACACGATGAAAAAAAAATAAATAAATAAACGACGTTTCTCTCGTTTTATTGCAAGCTGAGAAAAACTGTCGCAAAGGAAGGGAAGGTTTCGACTCGGCGAAGCGGAGTCAATTTTTCCGGAAGTAGCGCACCTCGCTAAAAAAACTTGGTTGACTTAAAGTCAACTAATTGGAAGGCCGCGATTCTGCTGCCTCAATTCCGCGAGCAACCAAGCGGACGAAAATAAATGGTACAGCAGGGGGTTGGGTAAATAGGGCAAAAGTAGCAGAAAGATATTGAACTGGTCAGAGGCCACTAACTCCCCCCGCCTCTCCGCGAACCGAAGCTCACGGAAATTGCTTGGAATGAGAGAGGGCCAACGACGTCAAGTTATTTCGTACCACATTCAACTTTATCAAATAGCTCGAGAAATCTCTTCGCGTTGTTGTTTTTTTTCATTTTTTCAATTTCCGGACGACTTACATAACCGAGAGAGAATTGTTTTTCTTTACATTCTTCGGATTCCATGCGCCGAAAGTTTGTTTTTAACGAGTATTATATCAATCAATATATAAAAATATTGCTGTTGTTTTTGTTTACGCAACACACACAAGCGCGATTCGAAGAAAAATCTCTTCGAAGCCGCGTCGCGTAATATCGAAAATCGATCTTTTCGATCCTTTATATACGTACCTTATACTTCCTCGGAAATTTAATCACGCCTAATGCATTATCGGAATCCGCGATTCTCGTTAGTCGCCTGTCTGCTTCGAGTAAAGCGACATCGCATGTGATAATCCGCGTAATGCGACTCCAGAATGAGGATACTGTCTAAACGCGCATTAGACACGCGTACTTTGACGAAAGAGGATCACGCCGAAGCGCGCGCGAGAAGGTCTTTGCACGTTGACGAAGTTGAGATAGACATCGTAGACGCCGCTGTGTGACGTGCGCGCGGCGTTCATTACGTTGCATGCAAAATGTATAACACGGAACGTATGGCGGCCACGGGTCTCGACGCAAAACGATGCTAATTTATTCGGCGTACATTATTATTATAGAGGTCACACGTAACTCGAAACACGCTTTATCCTACTCTTATCTTAAGATGCGACACTAGATAATTCCGACGTGTTTTTAGTTGCGAGATATATGTATATATATGTCGAGATTAAAAGTAACAATTTTAGTTGATTAAAATAAACTCTTGGGGTCAAAAAATGCACAACGCGCGTTACACGGTCTTGAGATAAAATTTGTGATATCGGAAACGAAGGAGGGAACAGGTTATTTACATCGGTTTGTCGCGCAATTGTAATTTTACGAGAGATATATACAACGCTCGAACCGCGTTATGAACTATGTGGCAGCGCGAAAAATGTGAGAGCGAGGGACAGCTTGAAAATTTTCACATGATTTAAGAACGGGGGCGAGATCTATACTGTCTACTTTGCAGCACGTCCTTTAATGCGAGCGCGTATCGTAATTTATAATATAACGCGCGAAAGGCTTGCTATGCACGAGCGAGAGACACGGTGACATTATTACCGAGCGACGACATTATTCTGATGCACGAGACACCTACACGAGACTCTCGAACCCTGAAATACTCGTCGTTGGTGTTATTTCTCGTCGTGAATTGTAGATTCTCTTATACAATCGAGAATCTCTCTCTGAGCGAAACGTACGTTACGGATGGGACAAGCGCATCCGCGTGTGTCAAGTGTGCGAGAGATCGCAGTCTGTTTGTGTGTATATATATATATTCTGTAGTTGAAAAACTACATCGAACGATAAAAACTTCCATTCATCTCTTTGTCACGCGAATAGGACGAATCTAGCGCAATATTTGTACTAGATTTTTATTAAATTTTTGCGTCGAATTGTGTGTGCGCACGTACGTTTTGCAATGTAGTTTTTTTTTTACACATCACAATTCTCGATAATAATAAATTTTTTTCGCGACAACAAAAATGTATGGGAAAGCGAACTCTCTTTGCGTCGTCGGTACTTTACTTTTTTGCTTTTTGCGGACTGGAAAGAAGGGGTCCTCACGACCATCTTTCGGGCACCCACGCGTTCTCTCTCGAGAGAGAAAGAGAGAGTATGGTTATTATTATACTCTTGACTCGCTTAGAGAGAAACTAGGATTGCCAACATCTGTCGCGATTCACACGGCATTGCTGCTCAGTAAAGCCAGATGTATGTGAGATACGAAAGGAAAGATATAAATACCAGCACGTCGTAACGCGGCCTCTGCTGTGTGGCGCGCAAGAGAGCGGCCGACAATTACTATTTTTCGAAAAAAAAAAAAAAAATACATGTAATCTAAAGAAACATTATATTATTTATACTTTGTATTTACCTCATAAGCCGGATCTTTGCTGTTGTCAAAAATATGACCTGGCGCTACGTTCCTTCGACGGTCGTCATTAAATGTAAACATTGTGGAAAGAAAAACAGATGATATAGACGCGGGGAAGAAAATAAAAACAAAAGAATCACGGAGAGAGAGAGAGAGAAAAAGATCGAAGGAGAAAAAGCAGAACAGTACACTCCGAAAGACAATTACGAGAAAGAAGCATCGAAGAGATATAATATGTAAGTAAAAAAAAAAAAAAGAGAATGTAAGGAGGAGGAAGAAGAAAAGAAAAGGATGAAGGCTCTTTAACCGGAGCGCTCCGAACGACAGGTGAGTCCGTTGGTGGAGGTAGGGGAGTCACGGTTTCTAGAAAGGGAGAATGAAGGAAGAGATAATGACAGAGAGAAAAAGGGAGAGACAGAGAAAGCGAGCGAGCGCTTTGGTGGAACAGTGAAGAAGTTAGATACGGGACGAGGGACTACGGAGATTCACGAGCGCAGTCGGACGTTAGAGGGGAGAGGCAACGAGGTAGGGATAAACACGCCGGCGCCTCAGTATTGCGGTGTCTGTCGAGGTGCTCGTTTCGCGACGCGATACTTTGTTCGCGCAACAAAAGCTCGGTTACGCTTGTACGGTTGCTCGCGTACAAAGAAGTTCGCGCGACGATCAGAAAGAGAGAACGTTCTTTGCTCGCTCGCGATTTTGCGTCGCTTCCTACGACGAGCAAAAGGCTGGCCAATCGCGCGCGCAGCGGAAGTCGACCGCGACCATTTCTCTATCTTTCTCGCTCTCTCGCGTTCGACGATTAAAGCGTCGAGACACGACGGCGTTACCAGCTGTGACGCGGTCGAAGCACAAGTGTATAAGTATACATATATATACGTGCCGTGTTCTTTCGGTTTTGTATCTTCTTGTTTTGTGCGCGGCTTCGAGTTTTGCTCTCGCGCTTCTCGATTCTACTATCTGTGTGTATTACCTACCTACCTACCTACCTACCCTACCACCGGTGTTTTCTCTCTCTCCCGAGACTCCCCGTTAGCGCGAGAGTGAACAAAGGGAGACACAGCGCGTACGGAGAGGAGACAGACCAACAGCGGGACAAGAGAGACAGAGAAGTTGATAGAAAGAGAGGACGAGAGAGGGACACTGAGAGGGCCACATACATCGAGACGTCGTATCGATCGAGAGCTCGAGTCCCGCTTCACGTGAGTCGATGAGTTTTGTACTACTGCGTATTCACTGTCTTCATCAGAGTCTTCTTGTGACAAGCACAGACAGAGAGAGAGAGAGAGAAAGGTGAAGAGGGGAGATACGCGGCGCTCCAGTCTCCCCTCTGTCATCCGACATGGCGTTAGCCTCTGTCAACGCGCTGGCTGATCCATTAGAACGGAAGCCACGTGTGACACAATAATTGAAATATAATGTTGTTTCAAATAGCTGATTTCGAACGTTTAACGTTACATCACGACGTGGCTTTCGTTGATAATCCACGGTTTATTTTTGTGCTTTGTTAATCAAGTTCATGAACACATACAAGTGTCTACTCATGATGTTTATCACTTGATAGGTCAATACGTTTGTATTGTATGTACGTGTATTGTGTACACGTCGTTTGATACGATACTATATACGTTGGTAAAATACATTTGTTGTTGTCGGAGAAACTTGATACTATATCTATATAAAACGCATATATATTTTTTTCTTTTTTACAGTAATAAATATTGGTTCACATTTATATATATATATATATATCTCGCAAATTTTGATATATTATATATATATGTATATATATATATGCGGAGTGTGTATAATTCTACATCCTAAATTTTTTAAAACATTAAATAATTTTCCGCTATTATTAAAAAAATTTAATTTCTCGATTATCAAAATTTGCGAGATACAAAAGAGACTTTATATCGAGGGAGGAAGAAGAAAAGAGAGAAAAAGAGGGAAGAGGCATCAATAATCTCGAAATTACATTTTACATGAATGAGCACATCCCGAGCACGGTTTTGCGCCGAGCGCACACAATCGTACTTTCTTTCGCGTTATCTCACTAACGATTAACATTCGCGCTGGACGTGCTTGCACGTGCTTCTCATTCGCGAAAGTCGCTGGTGATATACATCTTCCAGAGCGATGGAGATTATGCCGCAACGACGACGGGGCGTACTGTCGCTAATTAGACATGCGCCCTCGAACTCACGTCGCTGCATAATATCTCCGCAGGTCGTACTTTTATTGCATGTGAGGTCTAATTAAGGTAATGAAACAAAAGCCGCGGTAACGAAGCTACTTACGCCTATGAGATGCGCTCCAATTTAACCGGCTTCTCACCCATTCTCATTCGTTTGATATCGATTCATTCACTCGGCACTTCAGATATATAATATGCTGCTCGATATCTCGAAATAGTAGTTTTAAACATATCCCAATTCTCTCTCTTTCTCTGTGTGAAAAATATTAACGAAACGTAATACGAGATAAATTATTTCACGTTTTAAATCTACAAGAATATTTTATAATACCGTATATGTAACTTTTTTTTTATAAAACACTAGAAATATATTGTTTTATTGTGAAAACAATACTGTTGAAACGAAATTGACTTTATATTTAATGTATTATATTTTATAGACAAAGCGCACTGACGTGGAATAATAGTCGCAGCACGACTAATTAAAAATAGATTAGTTTTTTTATCGATAAGTAAATTTTACACATGCGTTGTACATTTATACTAAAAAAAAAAAAAACCAACTTTTTGTGAAACTGTCGCTTTGCTATATTTTATATATTTGCTGCAGACGAATATAAAGTGCTCAAAATGTTTCATTAGGCGCTGCTTCTATTATTTCAACACGTAGAGTTGAGAGGACAAAAGTCAGTGAATTTGAAAAATGCAGCGAGGTGTGGTTTCAAAAAGATAAACTTCAAATAGACGGCATAAAAAAAAAAAAAAAAAATAAACGCGCGCCACCGACCAATGAATAAAAATACTTTTAAACGACGTTCTAGCACAACAAAAAAAAATTTGTTTTAACTTACAAATTGTTGACTGTCGTGTTTTGTTTGATATTTATCACGAAACTTACAAAAAAGCAAACAAAAAACTAAAGTTGGCTGTTGGTCTTTTTTTTCCGTGGCGTTTTTGTATTGTTCTTTCACAAAAATATGAATCTATTTTTGCAAGATACGCAGAAGTGTGAGAATAATTCAGTAATTAGAGTATAAAAAATATTATCATCTCCGTCGGTTTCTGTCTCAAATGAAATACTGTATTTTTTAGAACGACTTACAACGACACTCGAGAGCACGTTATATCGTTAACAAGTCCAGTTCATGATACTGGTGAATTTCCGGGAAAGTAGGACATTATTCTCGTCCTTTTTTTTTCTTTTTTTTTTTTGCAAAAAAAGGGAGAAAGCTATATGAAAAGTGCAAAGTGCGGCGCATTACTCTTTGCACAGATGGTGCATTCGCACAGTATTTCATATCTGAGAACACAACAGACGCACTCAACATTAATTCTCTTAATATTCTCCAGTAAACTTCCGAACGGCCTGAGCAAGTTTGTACATTTAATAGAACTTTTAATGAAATTTTCTAAACGTAAAACGCACTTATTTTACTCAACGCGAATATAAGCGCGCGTCGCGCGTAAGAAACAATTAGAGGAGTACGTATTTTGCGCGAAACGCGTCGTGAACATTCCGTTTTGCGATATGAAATCTTTCCACACATCTTTACGTACGTAACAAAAATAAAAATAAAAAAAAAATAAAAAAAAAACAAAAACCAATACGCAGTGTGCACATTTCGCGGCGCACTTTTATATTCGAGTTTTTGCGATAAAGTTGAAAAATTTGATCGGGGTGAATCACTCGCGAGATATCTTTATCGCTGCCGAAAACGCGGGGAACTGGATTAATCTCGCCACTTTCAAAAGTTGAATAGCGAACTCCCGAATATAAATCTCTCTTCTACGTCGCGCCAAGTCCGAATCGTACCGTGATATAACTTACGGGCATTAGTCATTGATATAATCGATCTCCGCGGTGCGGTAACTAATCTCGCGTGACGTACCAGTACCACGTCGACCGTAACGTAAATTTATCGTCAGCTAATTAGCCATTCTGCATCGTTCATTCTCTCACTGTCTGTCTTGCTTCGAAGGATTTCCGTGTTAATTCGATGCATCGAACCTTCCCACAAATTTGCCAAGTTCAATCGAAGAGACGTCTTTGATTTGTTCGTCGCGTTGCTTTGACGTACGTTCTATGAAAACAAACAAGATTCATATCAAAATGCAAGCGAATCAAATCAACAAAACTATTATTATTATGTACGTAGTATTTTTTTTGCTTCAACAAAATTTTATTGTGAAAAAAAAACTTGACGAGAGAAAGAATTTACGTACGCAATTTTTGTTTTTTTTTTTCACGACGCGTAGCGCGATTTCAAATAAAAGTGTTTGGTCGATAGATTTTAGCGGTTAACGGGGGAAAGTTAGCGTAATGGGTTACGAGTTTCTCAGTTTGCGAGTTGGGATTTGGCTTTTGTTGCGGAAAACCCTTTACAGCGGTACAGTACAGATAGTGTTTCTCAATTCATAATATAGTTAGACGATGCAGCTTCTCTCGTGTATATTCCGCGGTGCTGACCCATACCCTAGGGTGCTACCAAGAGTTGCAAGACAGGTAGTGACGTCATCGACCCAGCTGCTCCTCTCTTTTGTGCGTTCGTCTTTCCTCTCTCCAAGACGCGATACGAGCAGACGCGGCGAGCGTAATAGCTCCGGGCTTCGTTAAACGTATTACGTGCTAGCGAAATATTATTTTAAAAGGGGATGTTTCGAAAGGAAATTTCTCATTTTCGTGCGGAGGAAACGTTGAGGTTTTATTTATCAGATATATCGAAACGATATACACACACGCGCGCGCGATCTGCGAAAAAGAACAATGCGATCTTTTTTTTACAAAAGTTGTGTTTTCATCTTTCCAAACATTTAAAACGTGTTGTATGTGTTTGTTTGCGAAAGATAGTAAATTGTTATTTTTACACACACACACACACTTTAGATTTTACGTAAAAATGATAAAATACATTAAAGATCTCTCTCTCTCATCAGACATTTGTAATCATTTTCCTTTCTGAATTTTGATTCGGCCTGTCGGGAAACATAGATCACAAGCCAACAGTTTCCCAAAATTGGGCTTTGCCCAGAGCAAACCACACGAGAGCGCCATATATGCTTATGCGATAAGGAGGATGGGAGGATGGTCACGACGAGAAACTCGCCGTGCAAGCTACCTATTTGTGGTGAGTTGTATGTAACTTTGGCACGCTATTAGCACTATACATAAATTATTGTCGCTGTCCGTTTAGTTCAAATATCATGGAAACTTTGTGCTTTACAAACATTTCGACCTTCTGAAACATCTGACCTTCCAAAATTTATGATTTCGCGAATCGAGGTTTGAAAGTTTCAAGTGTGCGTACATTACAGACATCAAGATCCATTGTCTCTTTGAAAGTGATTTAAAAAATCAACAACATTATTTGATTACACAACAAATGTTTGGAAAAGTCGTCGTAAAAATCCCAAGCTTTCCGGCACAGAAAACTTGTGAAAATAAAATTCTAAACATATACGAGTCCACTGAGAATTGTCCAATATCGAACGACGTTCGGCGAGACGTGTGTTCGGTCGTGAGCTTCAAGACACGTGGAAATGAAATATTTCAATCTGCCCATATATACACTCTATGTGCCGTGGTATCTCGGCGCGATTACGCGACCTCGCGCCGTCCACCTACGCTTATCTTTCGCTTCGATACGGTCGTCGCGTTCTCTATTCATCATCGCGCGTCATATAGGTATGAAGATAGTTGTCGCAGAAGCTCTTGCCGAGCTCTTCGTACGAATTGCCAGTCGGCGTGGCGGTGGCAATAGCTACGATATATAGCTTCGCTCTACGGCGGCGCCGCAAGGTAGTTTCTTTGACGTCATTGACCTAGCTGCTCATCTCTTGTGCGCGATATCGCGCGTATACCGACGCGGTATAAGGCACGATATGCAAATTGACCGTATCGAGTTATTGTGCCCGAACATCGAGATTGTCACGCTTCGATGTGATTTCGGAGCGGATCTGTTTTTTTTTTTTTTTTTTTTTTAACGTTTAGTTTTGCTTCTTCTCAGA